CCAGAGGATTCAAAGCACATGAAGAAATTTGAAAAACGTTTGTAGTGACAAAAGGCAAAGACAAGAGAAATAGCAGCATCAAGGCCATCAGGGCAAGAGTGTCTGAAAGGAAAATAAAATTAACAACAGTGGCATGTGCCACAGAGAAACCCAAGTTTAATCCTTGAACTTACATGAGGTTATTCTCTAATAACTTCAGCAGGGATGATTGAAGCTAGTAGCTTAAGGTTCCTGGCTTGTGTTTGTTAGCGTGCTATCAAATGGCTACCTTTCTTTTATTCATGCTGCAGGGCTTTCTTTGCTTATTAAAGTAATTTCATACATCAGTCTATACTGATTTCAAAATAGTTTAAGTTCCATAATAAAATCCTTTTCAAGTTTTCTCAGAAAACCTCAAATTACCTAAGTCCAAAACTCACAAACTAAACTGTCTACAGGGACTGGTTAAGCAAAGTGAATAAGAAAGGCAATTTGAAAATCTCCCCAAACCAGAACACATCATCAGGTCGAAAGGGGCCCATGACCATATGTTGTTGGTTTGTTTGGGGCTCTTTTCTCTTTTGAGGGGTCCGCCACCCAGCTCCCAAATACATCACACACAGTGGCTTATTCTTAACTATGAATACCAGGCCTTAGCTTGGCTTGTTTCTTGCCAGCTTTTCTTAACTATAAATTATCCCATCTACCTTTTGCCTCTGGGCTTTTCCCATTCTCTTATTTCTGTAAATCTTACTCTTACTCCGTGGTTTGCTGTGTAGCTGGGTGGCTGGCCCCTGGAGTCCTCCTCCTTCTCTGGCTCCTCCTTCTTTTCACTCCTCCATCTGTTTTTCTTCCTCCTCCCAGAGTTCTTCTTCTATATATTCTCTTGGCCTGCCAGCCCCACCTATCTCTCTTCTGCCTTGCTATTGGCTGTTCAGTTCTTTATTAGACTATCAGGTGTTTTAGTCAGGCAAAGTAACACAGCTTCACAGAGTTAAACAAATGCAACATAAGCAAAAGTAGCATGCCTTAAAATAATATTCTACAACAACAGTGTTTTATCATGGCTATATTATATACAATATTATATGCTGTATTATTATATGCAGTATAATACATGCTGTGTTATATGCAATATAATACATTATTTTAATCTGATACACTTATAGGAAATTAAGTAACTAATAAATAAGTGCTCACAAGGGCTGGTGAGATGGCTCAGTGTGTAAAAGAGCTGGCTGCCAAGTCTGATGACCTGAGTTTGAGTCTCAGGACCCACACTGCAAAAGGAAAGGATTCTGTTCTCTGACCTCACACACACTGTGGCATTTGTGCCAGACACACAAAATAAATAAAATAAAAAAGCTAATACGCAGTAATAGAACACAATATAAATTCTAGCTCTTGCTCCATGATAATTCCCACGTGTGTGAGTATGTAGCCTCCTTACTGAATAAATAAGATACATTAGTGGGTTAGCCAGATGTGCAAACTAATAATCACAACAGACTAGTAAATTAGAAAAGATGACAGGCTTCTCCATTAATCCAGATGCACTATCTCTTCTGATAGTTTCAGGCCAAAACTACAAAAAATTAATTATGAATGGCTCTTCAAATCAATAGTACATGCCTCACAAATGAAGCTGAAATGTGTTGGGAAATATGAGATCTTTAAAAATTATTACATGTATTTGTTTACTTACCTGTTTATTTACTTATCTACTTATTGATTTATTTCGTGAGTTAGCACACCATGGCTATGTGCGGAGGTCAGGGGACTAGCTGCAAGAGTAGCTTTTCTCCTTCAATCGTGTAGGGTCTGGAGATACCAAACTGTAAGGTCTGAGGACCAAACAGATTTTCAGGCTTGGGGACAATCACCTTTAGCTGTTGAGCCATCTGGTTGCCCAAAATGAGATCTTTAACCAAAATTATAACTGGGAAACAACTATCTACAGAGTTTTAAAATAACACTTAACCTATTTTAAAATTTCTAGAGAAAGATTTGATAATTGCTGATAGAAAGCTGGACTCCAATTATGAAGGTTTTATTTATTTACAGTAGGACTACACACTCAACCACTCATTCCATGTGAATCTTGTGAGTCTACATTTCCCGTTTAGTGTGTCCACTCTCAAGATCAGAGGACACACATTTAAATTATTTCACTAAAACGAGGATGTTAAGCGCTGCAATGGTCCCAAAGGAAGGGACTATCACAACTCTCATCTTGGTTCTTGTTAACAGCCCTCTAAAATGTATGTTCTTTTTGTAAAACCTAGGTAGTACAACACCCTCAAAGCCAGGGGGTTTGGTGGAATGGATAAAGGTGTTCTGATCGCCAAGTCCATAAAAGAAAAAAGTCATCTTTCTATTTTATCTTTCTCTTCTCAAGGAATTAACGTGCTCCCTTGTAAAGCAACTTCCATCTATAAAAGTGCTAACCAGCGTTAACTTTGTCTTTGATTTCAGCAACCCTAGCATATTATCTTGTTTTATTTTCCTTCTGGGAGTGACAATTTAGTTTGCACCTCAAAACATGTCTTATGCACAAAGAGGCAAATCTCCCCAGTTTAGGAGCAACAGAATTAAGTGGGCAACGAGGTCATTTGCACAAAATCCAATACGAATCCTAACTCACTCCTTTTCCTGCGCCAACTTAATAACAGCAAAAAGCACAACGTGTCCTCAAGCGTCACTGGACCCAAGTCAAGCTTTTGCTTAGGCTGCGAAAGGTGGGGGTAAATGACTGACTGGGCCGCATTTCTTGGGTGAGATGTTATTTACAGCCTGGGCCGGGAGAAGCTGCTTAGATAACAGCTGGGGTGAGTGAGCGTGGTGTCGCCGCCATGCAAGCAGGTCACACACCGCTCACCTTCACAGTCAGCCCCCGGCTGCACACCGGCCTCCAGGCCCTGCGTCAGCACCAGGTCCCAGATCCGAAGCCCGGCGCAAAAGGTCACTAGGGTAGGTAGGCTGGTGCACCGCATGCTGAGCCTGGGACCCGGGACGGCCAGTGCCTTCTGCACTACAGTCGCCGTAGGCAACCTCGTGAGCCGGGTAAGAGGCAGGAAACAAGTGACGCGATTTCGCCAAGAGTTCCCATTGGCTCTCAGGAACTGGGCTCAGGAGAGGAAGGAGCTAATGAGCCTCTTCCGGTCCTGTCCTCCCTGCGCGTGCGCGTTACGGCATACACGCCGGGGCTCCAGAGGAGCGCGGAGTGATGCGCCAAGGTTATTGGCTCTCCGCTGTGAAGGGAGGCGGGATCGTTAGGATGATTGGCTGCGACTCGGGAGGCCGGCGCAGCGGACCGGACGCAGTAGGCGGGCGGGAACGTGGAGTCTCCGCAGTGCCTGATGGGCTTACTCCGAGGAAGCTAGCTGTGGCTGCGGCAGGGTCCCTCGTTGAGCTGCCGTGGTCTCCGCCGCCTCATGGCGGCGATCGGCGTGCACTTGGGCTGCACATCGGCCTGTGTGGCTGTCTACAAGGTGAGACTGGGAAGCTGGCTCCGGCTTTCGTGGCGGCAACCCTGTTCTCTGGGCTCCGGGTCAAAAGCCCCCAAACCTTTCGTACGAGCAAGTGGCGATGTTGCGGGTTCTCCGCTCGTCCTCCACGGACGAGCCCGCTGCGTGGAGGGAGGGTGGATACAGAAGGGATCTCGGGCACTCCGGGATTCCCTACTGGGACGTCGGGGCTGCTGTCTCCTTTGAGGCGTTCCGGACACGGGAAGGCCATGGGATACCCAGAGGAGTCTCCGGCACCTCAAGCCTGCAGGGTGCATTTAGGAGGCCGTGGCCATAGGATGACCAGAGAGGTTCAGAAGATGTCAGGGCTCAGAATGCCTGGAGGAGTCCCAGGGCCATCGTTCTTATAAAGATGCCTAGAACAAGCCTGGATGTCAGGATCCCCTGGATGCCTGAGAGTTCTTAGTGGCTACTGACCGCAGACTCCCCGAGGTCAGGGTGACGTCATGGGCTCGGGATTCCCGCAGGTGGGAGGTCTTCGGAATTTCGGGCTGTAGAACTGCAGCCTAGAGAAGGGTACCCGGAGAGTAATTGGTTAAAAATTGGCACTGCTGTGCACACTTGATGATTCTGGAACTGAGAACTTGACAAGGAGCTGCGGCTTTTTTTCTCCTGAATATCGGGGCAGAAGGAACAATGACAAGGAGTTTACCCACTTCTAGCTCCGGGTTCAAGAGATACGTGATTTATAAGAGAAGTTCTAAGGGATTAGCTACTGCACTGCGTTTATAGGAAAGTAGGGGGGAAAGGTGTATTTGTGGGAGAGGCATGTGTAACAGTGCTTGCTAGTTATTGGGTATAGAATGTTTGATCCGGTTTACTGTGCAGAACTAACCAGGAAAAAAAATTACATGGAGTAGAAGCCTTGAAACTAATAGTGGCAGTTAAAAGATTGTTTTACCGGTTTTTTTTTTTCTTTCCACATAGATGGCAAAGTAACAGTGGCATAAATGCCAAAGTCACCTGCTGTCGGTGTTCAGAGTTAAGCAGGATGATAGAAGAAAGAGACACTGAAGGATGGAGTAAGGTTTTGCACGCAGCAGAGTGGACCGGTCTCTGAGGACTGAACCCAGAGTAGCCTTGCAGAAGCGCTTTTATTGATTGTTACACAAAAGGCCTTTTAGCAAGTCAATTCCCGACTACCAAAACCTCTTATCTGATCTAGGAGTTGTCTGAGGAGCCATGACCTAAGCAGTTCTCAGCCATTGCAAGAATTCCTGGTTTGCCAGGAATGTCTTGTGACTGAGGTCACGCAAAGGCTCTGAATTTCCCAAAGGAAGAGCAACCTCCTAAATCTCAGATGACAATCACTGATTATTTACAAAAGATTACTTCAAGGCCTAAATGGCCATCACTCCGACACCGGCTCTTCTAAAATTCTACTACAACCTGCAGATAAGTTCAGTGAGATTGTTTATTCCAGTGTGAGAGAACTAACGCTTTGTATGTCTTTTTAGGATGGCCGGGCCGACGTGGTTGCAAATGATGCAGGGGATAGAGTCACACCAGCCATCGTTGCTTACTCGGAAAATGAACAGGTACTCTCTCTTACGCTCATTTTTTGTACTTGAAAATAATGAAGAATTACATGCATTGTAGTTAATACGCTGCTCTTTTTTCAGGTGGTTGGTCTGGCAGCAAAACAAAGTAGAATAAGAAATATTTCAAGCACAGTAGTGAAAGTGAAGCAGATCCTTGGCAGAAGGTATGATGTAAAGTACTTTTTAAGATGCGGTAACCAAAACAATGTGTTTGTAAGTTCTAGGCAGAATGGAACTAGAGACACTACAGAGTGTGTGATGCTTGTCATCTTAGGGAGCACCCCAGTGGGCTTGCTCAGAAATTCCATTCTTGCTAACAGGTCCCAGCATTCATGAACGCCAGCGTTCATTTACTTTCGGTCATTTGTGTCGTTCACAAGTGGTACTTCGGGCATTTTGTATTTTTATATGCTTTTGAATGGTGAACTTGAATAATTTTCTTGGAATTTGAAGATTTCTCTGCATGGTGATTGAGTTTTGCAAAATCTCTTATAATTGGTCTTAATTTCTGGAGCTGCTATTGATCCTCCTCCGTGGGGGCCCTTCGTGACTTTCTGGGAACTGACTTTTCCAGTTGACTCACAAATGTAATCATTGGAGAAACAGCTTAATTAATATCTTAAGAAGCAGGTCAATCATCTGTTGTGACTTTAATTAGAAAATTATAGAAGCTTCCTTCCCCAGACTTCTGTCTCCTCAAATTACGGATTACCATAATAACGAGGCCTTTTCATTTTCTCTGGAGTAGTGGTACTCAATGGCGTTTCAAGTGCCTTCACATCTGTGATTCTACTGACTCCTCTCAACACCCTCATAAAAATCTGTCGGGCGGGTACTCTCCTTTGCTGTTTATAGATGAGGAAGTCAAGGCACAAGGATTTGTGGCTTTTCCAAATTAAAGAGGTGAATTAGATGAGCCTGCAGATCGGGACTCAATCCTCAGCTCCACACTCTCTGGTCTACTTCACTTAATTAGAAGGCGAATATTAGACATTTCCTTGGGTTGATTTTAAAATTTAGAGATTGTTAGTTAAATTTAATACTTCATTTACCTATACATATTTATTTATCTAGTTCTTGCCTGTTTAGTACACTGAACTTGATAACAGAATATTTAGGAATGAATTCAGATTGTGTGTGTGTGTGTGTGTGTGTGTGTGTGTGTGTGTGTGTGTGTGATGATTATACTCCCATGTCCTTTAGCTTTGGTAGTTATTAGTAAGTATGTTAAAATGTCCTGCTAAGCATATTAAAAATAAATTGTCATCAAATGTTTTTGAGTCATAAATGAGGAGTTGTGATAGATCTTGAAGCCAGAGTCCATTGAGGAACCAGTAATTTTTTAGAGACCCCCCCCCTCCCCTTTGGGGATAATTCTAGTTTCATGTGAAAGAAAACAAAGACAACCAGTGTATTACTAGATTTACCATTTCCCCCATGCTACCGTCCTGCAACACTGTAGTTGAGTATCACTGCAGGGCACTAATGCTGACCCAGTCAAGACAGAACATCTCCAGATCTGTCCCCTGGAAGCCAGTGAGGTTCCGATTTGTTTCCTTTATGCTACCCTGACTGTCATTTATCATATTATGTACTTTATACTAGCAGACCAGCTTAAGCTCATTTTTCTGGCCTTGAAAGTTAAATCCATTTAGCAAGAATTCAGTAGTGAGTCAGATGGGTAACACATACACACACCACAGTAAATAAAGCAAAGTAGTAAAAGTCGAATACTATTCAGACATACCACTAGACCACACAGCCCTGGTGGTACTTCTGTAGAGGTAGTTGCCTCATGTTCGGGTTATATTCCTCCTCGGCCTAGCTACTTAACCAGACTGTGGTCATTTTTATACAGCATGGTCATATCAGGCCTTAGCCTTGTGTGCATTTAGCCCTTTGTAAAAGAGTCCATCCTTGTGTTACCAAGATGTTAAGCCCATAGTCCTGTACTTCCCGTGAGTGGGTGAGTTCCCCGAGTCTTGGCCATGTTCCTCGGTGGCTTACACACAGGTAGCACTACTTATCTTGCTGCCAGAATGATCCTCACACCTTCCCTATAACTCTCATTCCCCTGTGGCTTTCCAGCCAGAAGTGTTGTCCTCAGACCTGGCTTCTCAGCAATTAGCCCTGAGAGGAAAGAACCGGCTGGCTCCTCCTGGAAATATGCTGAGAGCATACAGAACTTCCCCACGCCTTCAAAATTGTACCCTGCTGCCCAGGAGCTTGCTTCAGTAGCCTTCCCAGCCCACTATGGCCACCACCAATAGCAGTGCGGGCATCCGTTGGTCCAGACAGGAGACCCGAACTCTTCTCTCCATACTAGGCGAGGCAGAGTACATCCAACGCCTCCATACTATGCATCATAATGCAGATGTCTATCAGGCCGTGTCTAAGCGGATGCAGCAGGAGGGCTTCCGCCGCACCGAACGCCAGTGCCGCTCCAAGTTTAAAGTTCTGAAGGCATTGTATTTAAAGGCCTATGTTGCCCATGCCACAAGTATGGGGGATCCACCGCACTGTCCATTTTATGATATGTTGGATCCGCTTCTTCGAAATCAGATAGTGACTGACCCAGACAACTTAATGGAGGCTGGTGCTTGGGCCAAGCACTGTGATCAGAATTTAGTGGCCTCTGACACCCCAGGGCAAGAGGGAAGCAGCATGCGGAAACAAAAAAGGACTCAGGCAGCTGGTCATCAGCGCATTTTGCAAACAGTTAAGGAATCAGATGAGGATTGTCAACTGAGAATCAGTGACCGGATGCCCGAAGCCAGTGACCTTGAGGACTCCTGGGATGACTCCTCGGGTGCAGGTAACTCCCAAGCATGAAAGGGACTGGGGCTTGGAGTCACTTGGTCCCAAATAGTACTAAAAGCTTGGATAGCACCCTCTTGAGCATAACTGATTTCTGTCTCACTGAACCCCCTTTTCAAGTACTCCCAAGTTTTTAGCTATGACCTTACGTATGTAGTCAAACTCTTCACACATGAAGACATGTTCTTTCCAAGTATACTAGTTTGGTCATTATTTGTGCATGCCAGGCAAATGCTCCAACACTCATAATGTCCAGCTTTGGGCATTATTTGTAATGGGTACTTAAGAATACATGGGGAAAGAGTGGGTTACATAACCACATGGAAAGGGTCTTGGGGAACTCACAGGGTCAGTTTTATAGATGATTAAAACCAAAATATCCACATTACAGAATCATTTCCTTGTATTCCCTTGTGGAAAGAGACCTTCCCAAGAACTGCCCCACTTTTGTAACTGTCTCAACTCGGTTGCTGGCTGCAAGCATTCCCTTAGAGGGAATGTCCTCTCTGCAACACTGTGGCTTTGTTTTTCAGGGTGCTCTCAAGGGACCCCCAGCTACAGCAGCTCCCACCACCTTTTCAGAGGGTCAGTTGCTCCCTGTCAGAGCAGCCCCATGACCAGACTGGGTGTGTCGAGGGAATCCAGTCCCTGCACCAGCACCAGCCGAAACCCTCTCGGGGCAGCCTCCACACCACAGCCTCCAGGCTCCTCTTCCAGAGTTGCTTTTATCTCTGGCGGGGATAGACTTCTGACCAGTGAGCCCCCTCCACGGTGGGCAAGGCGAAGAAGGCGCTCAGTGGCCAGGACCATTGCAGCTGAGTTGGCAGAGAACAGGAGGTTGGCGCGAGAACTCTCCAAGCGAGAGGAAGAGAAGCTGGACAGGCTGATTGCTATTGGCGAGGAGGCCAGTGCCCAGCAAGACACTGCCAATGAGCTGCGCAGGGACGCTGTCATCGCCGTCAGACACTTGGCGACGGCGGTGGAAGAAGCAACTGGAGCTTTTCAGCTAGGGCTTGAGAAGTTGCTTCAGAGATTGATTTCAAATACCAAAAGCTAGGAACTGGCTGAAGGGACATGTTTTCCAGACTGTTACAAGCCCACATCGAACAACTACCTTCTGGAACCCTGGCTCCCTTTCTGTCTTCAGAAAAAAAAGAATAGATGAACTGCTGATACGCAGAACGGTAGTGAGTTCCTTTTCCTAAGATTCTCCACTAATGGAAAGGCCTTGAGGAACGGAAGGGTAGCCTAGTAGGAACCAGAAGGAACAAATCCATAGCTAGCTTGTCCTGGCGTCCTCACTAGAGTGAGGCAATCCTCTTTACCTCTCCAGCACTCTCCTCGTCTGTTGAGGGGCTCAGTAGTCACCCCTGCCCTGCCTACCTCACAGGGGTGTTGTGAGGATCAGGTAGCTTATAGATGTGAAAGGGTTTTAAAGTTTGGAAGCGCTAGACACGTGCCAGTTATCAATGCATCTGCCCTTGGCTAAGGCGAAGCTGGGGGGGCATACTGTTTACAACATACAGGAGCGTAGGGGTGTCCCACTCCGTTTACAACACACAGGAGCGTAGGGGTGCCCCACTCCGTTTACAACACACAGGAGCGTAGGGGTGCCCCACTCCGTTTACAACACACAGGAGCGTAGGGGTGCCCCACTCTGTTTACAACATACAGGAGCGTAGGGGTGTCCCACTCTGTTTACAACACACAGGAGTGTAGGGGTGTCCCACTCCGTTTACAACACACAGGAGTGTAGGGGTGTCCCACTCCGTTTACAACACACAGGAGCGTAGGGGTGCCCCACTCTGTTTGCAACATACAGGAGCGTAGGGGTGTCCCATGACCTCATTGCTTGAATCTTGATCAGTTTAACTTGTCTGCCTCTCAGCCTGAGATCTTCAGTTCTTACCATCTCCGTGGTCACTAGTCTAGGGAAAATTGTATTTGTGTCTGTGTCTCTTACACTCTCACTGCTGTGTCTTTGACATACCTACCAGCATGCACTTCAGTCAGACCAGCTCCCCTCCTTCATTTTACTAGTTCCTGGTCTTTGTAGAGGCGAGGATCTGATTGAGCACTGTGGGGGGTAAACGGTTCCTATTGGTGGGCTTTGATGTGGTAAAATAGTGACTGTTTTATAAAGCAGAAAGTGTAAGTAAATCCCTTGCATTTGGTGTTATTTGAGCCCCTTTAGATGGGCAGGTTGTATGTTTACATTGTGGTTGCCTTTACACATGGGAACCACCTGGATTATATCCATTGCCAATCCGCTTGTGGCCGATTGCTTTTGTTTCTATCTTTTTTTTTTTTTTTTTCATCTAAGTGATGTAAACAAGAGTTCATAGGGCTAATGGGTGTGGTGGAAGAGAGCAGCTCTGTTTGCCCTGTAGTTTTGAGAATACTCCCTAGAGAGAGTTCTAAGCTCAAGCCCTCGCCCAGACACACATCCCCGAGGGGAGGTTGTGGTGATACGCTACTCTGCAAGAGCTGGTTCTTAGTGGGTCTTGTAGTACTTTGGGAAACACAAGGAAAAAGCTTGGATTTAAATGCCCTCCAGCAATTAGGAAGCTTGGGAGGAAATGAGCAGGTAGGTATGTTGAGGTTTGGGGGAGGATGCAGTGCAGCCAGGTGCTTATGTGGAAGCTGGAAATGCAAATTAGTAAAGAAAAGGACAAACCCGGGCCCGGACCTCCCTGGAACCATGACAGGTGACAAAGAGCAAGCTGCCTGAGCGGTGTGTGCTGTGGACAGACGCCACTGGAATCTGCTTAGAGCTCCCTCACTCCAGGCCTGTCACTGCCATTTCCGTTGGGTGGACCACTTACCCTTTTTGTGCCTCAATTTTTTAAATCTCTTAAGTTGAGGAATTATTGGATAATTTTTATAGTACCTGTTAGTTCTAGAATTTTAAATAACATGGTAAAGGTAAAAATGGAGGTGAGCTATTTATAATATTTTCAGTCGGCAGCTATTAATGTATATTTGAAATACTGTTTACAATTGTACTTAAGGACCCCTTCTATGGTATTGATATTTATTGATATGCTGGTGAAAGTTCTGAGCGTCATACTGAACATCATGGATGCCTTTCTTTCATTGACGTGGATATATAAGTGTATGTTGTTTCTTGTTTTAGGCCATGGAAAGATGCATATCTGTTGTAACCCAATAAAGCTAATACTGATAAGTTTTCTGGAAAAAACAAAAACAAAAAACCAGAGAAGTACTTTAAGGAGACTTAGACCTGTGCCATATAAATCTAATGGTGACAGTATGTAGATGGGCATGTATTCGATATGAGAGAAATGCTAAAGGACAGAAGTGGAGTTAAATTGGGGTGTTTTGAAAACCCTAGTAAGCAGAGTAACCAAAATAAGAATAAAATTCAAGGTCCTGAGGAGTTAACAAGAAAACCTGCAGAATACTAAGAGACAGTGCAGTGGTGGAGGCCATGTGCAAGAGAGGCCTGAGCTTTGGGCCTACCGTTACCTCCTCCAGCGAGCCTTTCAACGTTCTGTAACTCAGGTTCTTCATCTAGCGTGGGAACTAACACTGTCCGTCCTACCTACCTCACAGGGGTGTTGTGAGGATCCAGCACACAGATGAATGTACATTTAGATGTGTAGGCACTGGAATGTAACAGGGGTGGGGAAGGAGACCCTGTAGCGCTTGAGTGCTGGTATTGGCAAACCCAGGGGCCCTGATAACTGTAAGAGATACTTGAGGAGAAAGTGGACATGGCATGTCCGGTAAAAAGTTGGGGTGCGATGGTAGGGTCAACACCTCCTGAAGGCGCAGAGTGATTGAGGTGCTGTCTGTCTGTGCCAACTGCCCACCACCTCTGTCCGTGTTACATACCTGAATCCTGGTGTGGACAAATAAAGTTGTGACTTGTGTGGAGTTGTGGGTCTGTCCACTGCTTTCTGATGCTAGGGATCCTTTGTCACCTCCACCCTGCTTTCTCTGTGTCTCCTTGTGAGTCTCTGGTGTCATTGATGTATGTGTTGCTGCGCCGCGCCCCCCCCCCCCCATGCTACATGAGCATCCTGTCCTCAGATGAAAGAGGCCCTCTTTGCATGACAGTTAGGAGAGAGAGTTTATCAATTCCATAAAACACCCTTCCTTGAAAATAACTTTAACTCCATCTAGTAGATGTTCCTGGCTAACTTGAATTCTGTTCTGAACCCCTGAGAACTATGGGGAACTTAGAACATGGGTACAAAATCCCACTCTGGGGAAACTTTGTCTCTTCTTCTACTTCCTTAAAATATCTGGAATGAAGGTCACATGGTTCAGGAAACAAGAGGGGCGGGCGGTTTCATTAAAAAAAAAAAAACTAAATCCTACCCTGTGGATCTGGTTGCTGGCAGTTACATCATTAATTAGCCGTGACACGTGGAGCTAGCTTACCTCTGGCCTCTACTAATTAATTCTCAGTTGATGTTTCGGTGACAGGAGAAAGGTAAGGTGAACCCACATGTGATTCCAGAGTTCCAGACCAAATTAGCCTATTTGAAACCCTTTTTGTCCCCTCAGATGGCAGAGGTTACGGTTCTCAAGTGACCCCGGGGCCCACCACTGGCCACTATTAATTTTCATCTGTTATTAAGCTTGTAACACATTGTATAGAGAATAGCCACAGCTCTTTAGAAGACTACTAGGAAGGTGCAAACTACTTTGTTGCAATTTCTACTTGAAATTAAGTGAAGGATCAGAGTTCCCATCTATCTTTGAGGGACGGAATTAGAGTGGTCATTTACAATGTTAGCGGAAGGCTGCTGAACTGTAGCTAGGGACAAGTCCTGGAAATAACCACCCCTCTCTGAACGTGGCTCTAAAATAATGCACACCTAACCTGGCCCACTTGGTGTTATGAGGCTGAATGGGTGATAAGTTTGAAAATAGTGTCAACTGCATACATTGGTGTTAACATCTAGTGACATACCAGTACATTTTTGCCTTCATAGATGCAGTTATTTGTATTTTATGTGGGGTACTAACATAATGTCTATGGTACAACTTTCCATACAGAACATCCAAACTTTTGCTCAATATTTTGGTTATGGGTGTTAATTTTCATGTATAGAAACCTAGGAACAAATGTGGGTTCGGTCTTTACCCTGAGGTAACAGTCTTTCTCCTTTTGTCCTTTGTATCTCAGTGGTTGGGTCTTCAGGATCATAGGTGTGAAAGTGTAGGGTATAAGATCATTGATAATATTCAGACTCATTCAAAAATGCATGGCAAGGTCAGAACAAGAGAGTTAATTACTTTCAAATGCAAAGAATAACAATTATAGCTGTTGTAAATCCTCCATTGAATTCAAGCATCTGTTATTATTGAGCAATTTAATAATTTTGTTGATGTATTTGTGTGTCTACTCAGTGATGTGAAAAGTACAGACTTTTAATTTAAGCCTTATGTGTCTACAATATTAATTTTTTAATGCTGAGTTATCTTTATATCTCTTTATGAACAGCCCTGCCGATCCACAAGCTCAGAAATACATCTCGGAAAGTAAATGTTTAGTGAGTATGATTCTCTTACTCTCTCCTCCTTGCCCAATGTAATTAATTGCCAAAGGTCATGACATACAATATTAAACTGAAATTCATTTTAAGTTTTTATTTAATTCTATATTTGGCATAATTGTAATTTTTCAGGTCACTGAGAAAAATGGGAAATTGCGATATGAAATAGATACTGGAGAAGAAACAAAACTTGTTAATCCGGAAGATGTTGCCAGACTGATATTCAGAAAAATGAAAGGTACTGCACAAAAGTTAACTGTTAAATTATTTTATTTTGCAACTTCTTTTATATAACTTATTTACATGTACGAGTGTATATGCCTACATATGTGCATATGCCTGAGGTTAGAGGCATCCCCTGGAGCCGGAATTAGAAGCACTTGTAAGCTGCTTGAGGTGGGTGCTGGGAATTGAACTTAGGACCTCTGCAAGAGCAATGTATGTTCTTAACTACTGAGCCATCTGCGTCCCCTAACTGTTAATTTAAATGGTTCCTTAACATTAAAGCATTTGGGATGGTGGTTCCCAGAGCGAGGGGTTGGAGACAGGTGCATGCTTGGGACTCGCTGGCTGGCCTTCAAGTTAAAGCCATCTTAGCATACACACACACACACACACAGACACACACACACACACACACACACACACACACACACACACAC